ACAGACTCGTACGTTTGCATCTGCATCAGATCCTCCTAGTTTATCGACGATGCTGCTCAGGTACGTTAAGGCTCCCACCTCTTCAGAAGCTTTGCCAGTAAGTGTGATTTGACTGGTTCTCAATGTGTTGTGCTTCAGAAGCTTGTTGTTTCCTCTGTGTTGGGGCATGATACTGTGAGAGCTGTTGGTACAATGGCTGTCTTTGCATTTGTTGTTGTGTTTGCGATTGCAGGATCAAGTCATTTACAAGATCGGTCACTCAGCTGCGTTCAATGTGTCCGCTGGATTTCTTGTTTTTCTTGAGATACTGTCTTCATAATCCAGTGAACAACCAGAAGGAAGAGAAAATACTTGATTCGAAAGGTTTGTCTAATACGAGTTTTTATCTGTAGTTGATCTGTCATCTGCTCACCGTGCACGACTTTGCAGTTCAGTCCGGTGTTGGGGCACCATGTAATGGTGAAGATTTTCCTAGGTACTCCTTAGTATCAATGGAGAATTTACAAAATTCTACTTTTCAGGATGGTCATGTGTTTCCCCAAACCTTACCCTACGATGGTCTGCAGCCTCATGAGAATGTTGTTTATCATGTTCGCTGCTATCGTTGGTGGGTGCATAGCCCGACCCTTGTTGCTACCTTGACGTGGTGGTCGGGCTTGCCTATCGTGATGAAGCAACCGAGCTATACTGGCTGGAACAACTGTTCCTCAAGGTCCTACCATGTCAGACAGGTCGGTTGAAGAGCGGTAAGACTAAAAGCAACAAACCCAAGGTCCGAAGGCGAAGTCGTACTGCTGACTGTACAGAGGTGTGACAGCAGTAAGGTGTTTCCTTCAGACAACCAGCATGACAGCGATGCTGCCTTCCCACAAGGAGGGGTGGGGTTAGAAAAGGTCGACCCTAAAAATGCACACCTCACCTTACCTCACGGATTTCCGTCTCCGGCGATAAGGCCATTTGAAGAACGGAGCTAACACGTCGAAAAGCTTCCACGAAAAGGCCGTGCGCGACCGGCCTCAAGCAGTTGTCCCTTGGGCACTGCGGTCACTGAGACCACCTCTAATCCAATTTCCTTTTCAGGTACCTCCAGAAGAACCCTTCCACGGTGTGGGCAACCGGGAAGTGATAACCGCCCTCATACCTCTAACAGCACCCAAGACCACTGTATTCATAATCAACCTTCCTCTTCAATTCCTATTATTCCTCCTACATCGACTTTCAACCCTAAACTTCCTCCTTCGGCTTCCTCCTCAAGTGTCACCATAGCCAACGATTCTAGTGCTCAAAACACTGTCCCAGGTCTACTGAAACCTCGCTCCAAACTACACATTGGAGCTTTCAACGTACGCACTCTATGTCAAATCGGTCAGCAGGCTTCCTTGGCTAAAACCCTAGAGTCTCTTTCCATTGATGTATGCTGTGTCTCTGAAACACGCATACAGGATCCCAGTGTGGTCATTCACTTGACCTCACCTCGGCAGAACGGAGAGCCAACGAGACCCGTTAGAACTGAGTTGAGTAACGAGAAAACCAAAAGTAGGTTCCAGGAACAACTGAGGTCACACTTAGGTAGTTGTGAAGACGAGGCTGAACCAGATGTTGCTTGGAAGAGCATACAATCAGCTGTGGAAACAGCAGTGACATCTATTAGTGACTTAAACCACAGAGTGGCAAGGAACCAGTGGATTTCTTCAAGGTCTGTCACACTGATGGATTCTCGCAAACTCGTCCCATCAGGTTCTGAACATGATGAAGAGCGAAAACAAATCAGATCTAGGTTAACCAAAAGTCTAAGGAACAACCGTGAGCAGTGGTGGGTAACGAAAGCAAAAGGGATGGAAAAGGCGGCGACTATATGGAACACAAGACAGCTTTACAGACTAATAAAAGAAACTGGAATTAATAAATCAAGTGTAAGTCAGACTATTTCGGAAAAAGATGATACTCTCATCTGCTCCCAGTCCAGACGTTTAGAACGATGGGCGGAACATTTTAGAGAACAGTTCAGCTGGCCTTCAGCTACTCTACAACTACCCTCCATTCCCAGACAATGTGAATGGAACATTGAAGTAGGTCCCCCAACTCTTGCTGAAGTTCAAAAGGCTATAGTTAATCTGAAACGAGGAAGGGCAGCTGGTCCAGATGGATTGACTCCAGAGGTCTTTAAGGATGGTGGTCCAATTTTAGCGATTAGGTTGACTAATATTTTAGCTAAGGTCTGGGAATTAGACTTTATCCCATCTGACTGGTCGCAATCACTCATCGTCCCAATATATAAGAAAGGGTCAAAATCATCCTGTGACAACCACAGAGGGATTAGTTTAACAAACATAGTATCTAAAATACTGGCCTCGATAATTATCAGACGCCTAACTAAGACTCGTGAACTACAAACTCGAGAGAACCAAGCTGGCTTTAGACCTGGTCGTGGCTGCATCGACCACATATTCACCATTCGTCAGGTTCTAGAACACAGGCATACCTATCGGCGTCCGACGATGGTGGTCTTTCTTGACTTAAAAGCAGCGTTTGACTCTGTAGACCGCGAGACTCTGTGGCAGTGTCTGTCATTGAAAGGCGTACCTCAGAAGTACATAAACCTTGTGAAGGCTCTTTACTCGAACACTACTAGTAGAGTCAGGGCTTATGGCGAACTGTCATCTACTTTTGCAACTTCAAGTGGTGTCCGTCAAGGCTGTCCACTTTCTCCATTTTTGTTTAACTTCATCATAGACCTATTGATGGAAATAACATCCTCGTCTACTGAATTCCCGGGTATTGATCTCCTTCCAGGAGGTCCACTTATCGACTTAGAATACGCAGATGATATAGTCCTGTTTGGTGAAGACGCTGACAAAATGCAGAGTCTTCTGGTAGCACTAAGCAACAATGCCAGAATGTTTGGGATGCGCTTCTCTCCCTCTAAATGCAAGTTGTTGCTTCAGGACTGGTCTGCGTCAACACCTGAACTAAGGATAGGGAGTGAAGTAGTCGAACGCGTCGACAACTTCACTTATCTTAGAAGTCTGATCAGCCCTAATGGGTTGGTGTCTGACGAAATCTCAGCACGGATTCGAAAAGCTCGTTTGGCTTTTGCCAACTTACGTCACCTTTGGCGGAGGCGAGATATCCGTCTATCAATAAAAGGACGAGTATACTGCGCGGCAGTCCGTTCTGTCTTACTTTACGGCAGCGAAACATGGCCTTTAAGAGTAGAAGACACTCGTAAGCTACAAGTATTTGACCACAGATGCCTTAGAAATATTGCTGGCATCTGCTGGGATCACCGGGTAAGTAATAGTGAGGTTAGACGCAGGGTATTAGGGAATGATGGTAAATCAGTTGATGAGGTTGTGAATCTTCATCGACTGAGATGGTTGGGCCACGTATTACGTATGCCTGAACACCGATTACCACGACGTGCAATGCTAACCGGTGTAGGGGTTGGTTGGAAGAAAGTTAGGGGCGGCCAAACCAAAACGTGGCATCAATGCTTGAAGTCACTAACTTCTAGTCTGAGCCATGTTGGTAGATGCAGACTACTTGGTTGGGGTCCGCGTGACTATCGTAACCAATGGTTGGAGACTCTTGGTGACATGGCTCAGAATCGATCACAATGGCGTCGGTGTATACACTCCCTGTCTTCCCTTAAACTAAGAGATTAAAATCACTTCATATCTTTCTTTCTACGAACTAATTCTTCCTTCCTATACTATATCCTTATTGCAACCTTTGACCTAACCACTCCTATGAATCCGGTGTTCATCTTGTGCTAATGAGGTATGGCAACCTGGACCGATGCACATATGTGCCTGGTCCTACGTTGTAGCTGACTGACTGACTGACTAATCCTTCCCTTCTTTGTTTCGGGAGATGCTGTGATAGTCTCGACACTCTGAGTCTCCCATCCTAGATTTGTTCATTCTATTCTTCTCTTGACACTATTAGTAAAATTCCTTGTGTTTGTGTGTGTGTGTGGGAGGGAACTTTCTTTATGACTAGACTTCGGTGACAGCTTTTCTCAAGTTAGTGTTTTTTTTCGGATTAAATGCTATGAGTTGCTCCTATTCTAATGCCGGTCAGCTTGTGTTTGTGCTTTTCTGTGTTTTTTCAATTTGTACTTGTGGTCCCGTATATTGTTCGGATATTTGGCGTACCCATGTTTACCGTTACCCTGTTTGTCGGAGGGAGTATCAGCCTCGTGACTTCTGAGGAATCTTGGCTTTCACCCTGAGACATTATAAGTGATGTATATGAAGACTCTCAAACTGTGAGGTCAGAGTTTGGATGAGTTTTCCTAGTTAGTGGTGTTGTTTCTTAGGTGATGGAGCTTGTGAGAACGGACAGTAGCCCAGGAATGTTTCTAATCTGAGTACATGACGTACTTCTACATAATTGAGTTTGCGTTTACTTTACAACTCCTTTGGCAACAATTACTCATTTTCTGTTTGTTCGTAGATTTTGTTGTTGCATTGAAAATATGTTGTTAAGCACAAATCGATGAGTCCTACCAGGACATTTACTCATGTTAAAAAATTGTACATAAGTGTTGATAACGCTTTTCTGACTAACTGTAAGCACAGCCTGAAGTAAACCATAAAGAGTGCACTAAGTTTTCACAATTAGTCATTTCCAAATTGGAACGTCGTTCCAGTGGTTAAAACATCCTGTTTTGATCCAATAAATTGTGGACTTTGAAAGCTACAACTACTTCGGTTTGACCTAAACAGCATTCAGTTCTTAACCAATAAGGGAAAGTTTGCCAACCTGTTCCGCCAACTTTAGTTTAAGCATTTAGGCGGTATCACCAATTCTCACTCAGACACTGCTCTGAAGCCACACGCTCAGCGAACAAGTTACTTCGATTTGATCAGAATCCACACCAGACTTTTATTTGTACTTTGTTGGTAAGCTACATTAAGTTTCCTTCCAAAGTTGCCTATTGTTGCTTTATCTATTATATAGAGTAATTTACTATTTTTCAGTTTCAGCATTAAAATATGCCACTTCCTAAACATACAGTTCAACCGGTCAAACTCAGTCAGGTAATTGTCCCGAATGGCATCGACAATGAGTTGGAATTTGTGGTTAATTCCACGGTCTGCAATGTCATGAGACAGATAGCATCAGTTAGCCGATTGGCCAACACCATGTTCGAAGAACTCACTACCGATTTTTCTCGACTAGTTGAGCGGACTGTTCGTCTGCAAAATCGTCTGGGAAAACTTCATGAAGATATGCAAATGGCGCGCAGCGGTGACGAAGACCTTACTGCTGGAGTACAAGAAGTTGAGATTCCGGTGTTCTCTAGCAAAAAACCAACTGATAGCCAGGTAAATTGTTCTACCTTTTCATTTTAGTTAGGTATTAAATCAAAATACCATACCTCCTTCTATGCGGTCACAATATGATCAAGCAGAAGCAGCTCCAGCACTTCAACAAATGGATGAACTTAGAGATGATAAGAAAACTAGCATGAGGTTGTATTCAGATCCCAGCTTTTTCTTTGATTTATGGAGTCAGGAAATGTTACAAGATCGCAAACATAAAAGAGCCGCCAAGAAAAAAGTAATTTTTGCTGATCCATTAATCGGTTATTTTCTTATCTCTTCTATTTGCAACCTATGTTTGTAGCTGCATTCGTTGTTGTTTTATGTAGACCATCTAAGCATTTATAGATTATTTCCTTTAAATGACAAAGTTATTAGTACTTACCTGATCTTCTTTTTATGGTTTCAATAATAAACGTGCTCTTGCTATGTGATTACATGGATTTCGTAATTGAAGTATATATCAGTCTCAGTTCTTAAATCATCTGGTGACTTTTTTGAAAATTAGTACTAAGCCGACTTTTGGAGTGATGCAATTAGTATCATATGTTTCGGTCCTAAACCCTTCCACTTTATGATGCTAGTGAATTCTACAGTTTCGTTTGACGCTTTTAATCATGTCGCTACAACTAAAGGTTTTGATCAAGTTTTGTATTTATATCCAACTACATATTCGTCTACTGAATTGTAGGATTCTTGTTTAGTTGTATTTTCTTTTTTTGCTCTTCTGTTAGGCGGTGAAAATTGATCGTCTCATTTATTTCATACCCATATCTATGTTACAAGGTCGTATTCCCCTTCAACGTCTGTCTTGCCACAGTTCTCTTAGTTCTCTTGAATTTTAATGTCACCGAACGTTTTCTGCGAACAAATGCTACAATTAGCACTGAGATTGATCCATAGCATATTCTTCCTTACTCATTGACACATAACCGATTTTAACCATAAAAAAGTAAGTGTTTTGTTGGGATTTTCGAAGCAGTTTTAAAAGCGATGATACTAAATTCCTCGACTCACTTTCTTGCTGTCACTTGAAAATGTATGTTTGCATAGTCAGAAGACCATTTATCACAACCAACTTACAGCAATGTAATTCATTCTAATTCACAAGCCTGGATTTGTGTTGCATTCATTTACGATCTTTTTTTTCTGTGTCTGCGCTTAGATAAAAATAGGGGACTGTAAGAAAGTAAAGCGATTCATTGATATAATCTTTTTGTTCCAGTTTTAGTAATATTTTATACAACCAAATATCCTAATCTTTGAAGCTTGTAACCTGTTTTTGGGTAAAATACCTATTTTAGAGACCAAAAGGAAAGGGAAAAGCTGCTCCACTTAAAAGTGGATCTAATCAGGGAGCTCAGAAACCTCAACTTATCATTCAGCAACCAGGAGTTGGTGGCCATAAACTTCCTGCACCGTTATTCGAACAAAACGGTCCTGTTAATGCCAGTTCTCATATGGATAGGAATGTCAATATTGTCAACGGTAAACCCACCCAGCATCAGTTTCTAAATAATGGGGATTTCGGAAATCCTTCATTACCTCCTCCGCCACCTCCACCAAATGCTCTTCATTCGTCAACACAAGTTGATAATGTACAGGATTTTCGACACGCATCTAATCAGAAGAGTGGTTATTGCCCAACTAAACCTGACCTTAGTGGTGTTAATCAGTTTCCTTCAGTTACCAACAACATTTGTAGC